GTAATGAATTATATGCACCTTTACAAGGCGCACAACATGTAATATAGACATTTTGGCAAACAGTCTCATCTTCAAAGGATTATACCTCCTGTAACCCTCAAAATAGTACCCATAGTGTCTGCTCTGGAGGAAACAATCCCCAAACACTTTGAAGATGTCAACTTTTGAAGAAAGTTGGGTAATGAATTATATGCACCTTTACAAGGCGCACAACATTTAATATAGACTTTTTGGCAAACAGTCTCATCTTCAAAGGGTGATACCTCCTGTAACCCTCAAAATAGTACCCATAGTGTCCGCTCTACACTTTGATGATGTCATATTTTGCTAAATGTTGGGTAATGAATGATATGCAGCTTTACAAGTCGCACAGAGTTCAACATTGATAGCATACAAAATGTGGATATAATTACAAGAAAAAAGGAGATAATGCAAATCAAAAATTGTCACCTGTAAGAGCAAAATCAACCTCCATTTCATCATCATCTTCCATCAGGACCAGGTTATTCCTAAGGCCGTATTCCAAGTCGTCAATGTTATTTCTCATATCCTCTTCGTCATGTACCAATAGATTCTGTTCAATTAGATCCAGCTCATCTAGCACTTGGGCAGGAACCGATGGGCAATGCACAGTACTTTCCCAAGTGCGACTGCACCTGCCTATCAAAGCAGTCCAATCCAATGCTAGCGTAGTAACGCTCGCAGGGACCTCATTTGAATAGGCTAGGGTTTTTTGAATTAGCCTGGGAAGGTGAGTGTGCCACACCATCCACGTCCGGCAAAATTGAAAGGTCAGCTCCTTATGCAAGGCCTTCAACACATTTTGACACGCATCCCAATTGGCTCTGCAGACGAGCGCGCTGGACATCACTAACTGCAATGGGCGCTTGTCTTCTGGACCACCATCAACCCATTCTGTTGGCCAACGATCAGCCTTGAAATTTTATGAATGTGTGTCAAAGATAGGGGATGAAACACTCACGCAAGTTGGTCATAGTCAGTAGCGAGTTGAGCTTGCCTTCCATTTCTATAGCTGACCGCATCATGTGCTGAACTTCACATGCTATCCTTTCAAGTTCTTCAGCAGCACTTCGTGCCGTTCGAAACGCCTGGATACCAACTTGCGTTGGAACATCAACGGCCCAGGGCTCATTGGGGTGCGTTAAATGGCCTATATTCCAAAACGAGTCGGCAATATCCATTGTCTTAACTTCTTCCAAGGTTGGAAGTCGTATAATGGGAAGATCGGGGTAATCATTGTGGTACTTGACCACATTGGTCTTGTATGTTGCATACTTCGTTGCCAAAGCCTTGTTTCGGGTGTCCATAACTCTCTTGAATCTGGCTTGTTCCGAGGTACCTATCAAACGTAATCCATGAAAAATGGTTCAACTTGAGAATCATGTATGCTTTACGCTAACCTAGACCTGGCTGATTCCATCTCTTTTGCCACTCGATTTTGCCTACAACAGCTTCATAAAGCTTCTCCTTAGACATTCGAATTCGCATGGTGAGGCGTGCTCGAGCGTCTGGAATAAAACCAACTTCAATCATTGACAGTACATGGTTTTAGTCGCAATCAATGATTTACCCTTTACCTCAGGCATATCTCGGAATTCATCACCTCCTAATTCTCCAGCAATATCAGCGATTGCTTCTTCTAGTTCAACAAGTGTTGACGGAAGAGCTCGCAAGGCGTCATGGTCGGCCTGAGACCTATTTGCTCGTCTTTTACGTCGCAGAGCCTTGAGTTCTTTGCTGAATGAGATACAAGTGTCATCAATATCGGTGCAGAACAATCGTGATCAGTGAGAAATCCTCACTGAGCTTCTTGAAAGTCTTCCTCGAGTTCAATCAGTCGGCCCAGTTGTTTCTTCAGTGAATTCAATCGATCGTCTCCAATTATTTCCGCTTGACAAGTTCGCTGACGTTCCCATTGGTCACCTAGATATTTGGCCGTCAGACCAGTCGCTTCCAGCTCGGCAAGCTTGCTACGGGCTTCAGATAGTCTCTTTTCAGCCGTCTTGAGCTTATGCACTGTCGACTTTGCTGTGTGATTCCATATAACATCAATATTACTGGAAAAGACAATCAATCAAAAGAAAATGGACACGATTACCTGCATTATCACGAGATAAGGCATTGTTATGCCGGAGTTTAAGATGCAAACAATCTACACGAAACTGTGGACTAGCCCACCGCAGCGGAGCGATTAAAGGTGACACCTTGAACCATTCACGTTCTAAGCCTTCGCCATCTGAGAGTCCCCACCGCGCATTAAGGCGTGGGTTGTATTGCAATTGGCAGCTCCATCGATGTACATATGCATGGAATGCACTCGTACCAAACATCAAACGATCTTGCGCTCGCTCGTCAACAAAGAGCCGGTTCTGAATCATCATATGACAAGCTGAGTCAGTTCGTAAAATACATATTTTACGGCATTGATTGACATACATTTATCACACCTTTTTCAAGGGTACAACCAATGTCATATAAGAGTCCCACTCCTGCCTTGTTAGTCTCGGTATTTCCTTCAAGAATCGCAGTGAACAGTTCGCCCAATAGTGCGTGTACGAAATGAGCCCTACCAAGACATAGGATGACAAGTCAGTAAGGAGAGTATTGAAAGAATATTGATATATGTATGAGCTCACTTTTCACCACTTCGGATGACATTAACCATTTTCAGCATGTGGTCATGTCGGCATGCCATCCCAATCAAGCCAGTCTCTTCACAACCTCGCCAGCTGGAAGCATCACGTTTGTCAGCTGCTGCCGTGTGTTGTTGTGTGCAAGGGTCCTATAAAGAGGGTGTAGTAGGTGAGGCATCCATCTTCGAACAACAGCTGGAGAAGAAAGAAATACCAGTTCCACTTCAGCCCTAGTCATTCTTCCGGAAATGGCAGGCTCCCATTTCGCCACAGCTGCCGGTTTCATAAATAAAGAAGGCATGACAACTGGGATTTCGTCAAAATTTCGACTAGCTGATTCCTGTCGTCGCTGTTGGAAGTTGCCATCAACGCAAACTATGTATTGCGGTCCAGTCTGGACCCCCGAAGCACCAGCTGGGCCAAAACACCTGGGGCAATTAGCCGCGAGTATTTGCAAAGGAGATAGGGCAAGGCTGCGTTTCTCGAGCTCTTCTATGCCTTTGAGGATCTGTCTGTAACACGTTATTGCACCTGTCAAAGGAACACGCCACAAACGAGGCTGTTAGAAGTTACATGTCAGTGATTGTATTTTACTCATCAAAGACAAAAATATCACCTCATAGGTGCCAGCAACGAGTATCAGCGGATTGAACGCGTCCAAGAATTTGTCAATCATCAAAGCAAACGGTTGAATATTTGAGTGGCAATATGCCCATGCGAGGTGATATAAGCGAAGGAGTCGGAGGGAAAATGCAGTCTCAGGCTCCTTAGGTGTCCCTCCCAGATAACCTCGGTTGATCAACCTAACTTGGTCAGGTATGCACTTGCAAAATTCGACGTTCAACTTGCATCGAACTGAAAAGACGATTGTTCACATCAGAACTCAATCCCAGTTACTTTCTGAATCAGAGTAAAAGCCTCACAAATCAAATCCACCGTATCGACCGCCCGTGTACGTTTGTCTCCGTCACGACAGGTACATAAAATCTGGTCATTAAAATCGTGGTTCCATATGGCATCATTACCCCAGTTTGAAGTGCGCTCTGAGCCTTGCATAAAAGCTACAAAGGTTGGTTGCATTATAGACTTCCACTCTGCATCCTGTCGAAGTCTATGATGCTTGTATCGATCACCTGAGATGAATTGAGTGAAAGTAAGAGGTTGTGGTTGAGGTTCATCACCAATGTTGATAGCCTCGCCATCGTTTGCGTTTGGATCTGCCAAGTTATCGAAGTTATCGAGATTGTTGATGAGAATTTCTTCGTCTGTAGCCGGAGGGTAGGCGATGTTGGGAGTGGGTTGGGGGGGTTTATTGAGTGCTTCGACTATCTCTTCGCACCTTTTCTTTCCCCAGGTGATCTTTGCTTTGTCATTTTCAGCTTTCTGGATAGTGGCCGGGGTTGTTGGAGGTCCCTTGCGTTTTGTAATTCGGCCAGGGCAAGATATAGCACGACCATTTATTCCCATTGGAAGAATTTTTTGTGCCAGGAAGACCACAAGAAGGAAAAAAGAGCCGGGTGAAAAGGTATGTACAGAAGATCCAATCGAAGCTGTTCCCAATTGGGCAATAGTGGAAATGAAACTAGTATAATTGAATAGGCCCGCGCTCATGTCCACAGAGCGAAGGGATTTTGCAATGCGCATTGTTGACCACACATATTTGACAAGAGAGAGTCAAATGACTACTGGTTGGCCTCAGCGTTTGGTTGACATCATCCATAATCTGCCACGTTGAAATGGGAGATGGATTTACCAAATCAACCATCTTCTCATTGAATAAACTCTTATAGGAGTTGATATTCATCTTGGTATTCTACCGGCCGGTCCCTATAAGACTTTCACATGATTGAGTCTTTCATGGTCGGCGCTTTGATTTGAGAATCATAGGCGGTGGTCTTCCGTCGGCGTCACGGGAATTGGTATGCCAGTGTGACGAAGTTCTTACATTAACAACATTGAACAAAAATATGATCCTTGAAGAATAATCTAAGTGTGTTCGATTGCATCAAACTGTCATAATCACGACAAGCGGAAGCTAGCGGAAGTATAATCCTTTTTCAATGGTAAGCAAGTTTTCGAAAGAAACTACAACATACATTTCAAATACACTTTCGACTGTATATCAAGTATATGTCAACTGTGAGTGACATATTCACTTACATAACCAAGCACATGACATGAGTACACGACATGATGTTATCAACAGATTTGGTACCGTCATTTCGGACTTATCAACAGATTTGGTACCGTCATTTCGGACCAAAACACTGACCTCTTATTCCAGTTCGAATAGTGAGCAAAAAACTAAAGCACTGATTGCACGCCACTGGCTTCTATCACATCAAGATGCCATCAACCGCCAAACCACGACGAGAAACGCGTTCGACTCGAGCTAAATCTCAAGGCCAGTCATCTTCGGCCCCACCTCCTGGTCCTAAACGTCCTTCTAAACGACGTCGCCGCGAGTGGGACCTTACTCAGGAAGAGATGGATCTGGATCCGGATGCCGATAACAATATCTCGGATCCCAATTATCTTCCAACTCCATCTGCTACACAGCAGCCTCCCCTTCCAACGGCATCTGCCACTCAGCAACCTACCCTTCCAACCACCACATCCCATCGGATCACCGATGATATCAAACTCTCTGATATAACTTTGAAGAATTATCAGGCAGCGAAGAAATCTTGGCCCGTTGGACGGATTCAAGCACAGTTGGCTCGACAGCGCTCATCAAATCATCAGCTAAGCGCGGCTGTCATTGCCGAAGGACAGGCCGTTCTTCAAGACCTGGACCACACCATTCACATGATTGCGATGGTCGCCGGTGTGGACATTAGCAAATTGAAGCGGGCCTTGTATGTATGGTCACTATGATACATGTCGATCTATTTGTATGCTAACTATGCTTGCTTTGCAGGGGATTGATGGGTGGGACTCATGGGGAAAATCCGTGGCACCGGTGGTTGAGCTTCGCACTTGATGCTAATAAGGTGGCAAGTAAGTAGAGTCCACCTTACTCTATTTCAACAAGATAAGCTGACACTGTGGCTTCTTTTCAGTGCCTCTACGGGGGGACCCCAATTCCAGCGACATTCTCACATGTCGAAATCAAGCAAATTCGATTACTTATCAAGCCCTGACCGACGACGAATACGCCGTGTTTACATCTAAGGTCTTCTACGCCCTTGGAGGATACCCTGACTACGGTGCAATTACCATCACTGAAGATAGCAATGCCTTTGGTGACAGTTCGATCCTGATACCTGAGGTTCCGAAACTTAAGGAGGAAGAGGAACTTTTATATCGGCCAATTTATGAGAAGCTGGTAGACTCGAAAAAAGTGGAAAGGGATCGGAAGTTGAATACACCCTCTGCATCTTCTCAAAAACAAGAAAAACAATCTCTTCAATGTATGAAAAAGATAGCCCAAGAGGTGAGTACCACGTTTCTTATTTTCACTAGTTTGTCATGTATCTATTCTATATTGATGTATGTTTGTAGCTTGCTCGGTACCATCACCTTGTGGGACTGGATTATTATGTAATTGCATGTAGCAACAGTTCCTCTGGTGAAGGTTGGTGTAGAGAGTATACGTCTCGGGATGAGATTTCCACTTGGGTTGAAACCAAGGCACACCTTCAACATGTTTTCCCACTGTATTGTCAAAATGCAACGACAATCGACGAAGTCAATTCGGTTGCAGCAACAAGCAAGCCTTCTGTTACACACAAAGCATCAAACAACAAATCTGACACCGATAAGAAGACATTGGGCGATATGTTGAATCGATTATTAGGTGTGTATTAAACCAAGGTTTTGGTTTATTTTATTCGTGTATAGTCTGTGTATAGTCAGCTGACTTGTGACCTAACCCTATCTAGCTCAAGTCGGTCATGAGAAGAGTTTTCCAAAGGTGGCTGATCCAATTGGTGCTTTGAAAGACCGCAAAATCCCAGTGACCATCGAACGCGCCCAAGATTCGAGTATGCTTGAAGTCGATTTTCTCAAGGGTTTCACAGGAATGAATGCAAAGGCCCGACGTCATTGGATAGACGATATCAACAGTGGGAAGTTCAAGGTGAAGTTGATCGAGAATGTTCCTAGTGAAGCACTCATAGTTAGTGAAGATCTTGCTGCTGGACGTCATGATGGTTCCAATGGGCAGGAGGATGAAGGAGTAGTTAATGTGGGGGAGAATGCTCCATTGTGAGCGATGGATCGTTATTAGATAATCTTAGTTGTTGTGTAATCCATCGTAATGATGTAAATTCCCATCGGGAGTGTCTTTTCAAAAAAAAATTAAAGATTGTTGAAATGAGAAGACAGCCACCGAATTTATCTTGCCAGTAATGTCTGGTGTAAAGACAATTAGATTGTATCTTAATTACATTGGTAGTTGTCTGGGGAGACCTTTGGAGAATCGAGAGAATTTCATACAGACACTAGGTCTTAGTCCACGACTCCACTGCATCTTGTTTGAGACCTCATTCTCATCTTTTGGACGTTTGGTGAGGTTTTCGGGTGTGCATTGGGCCATGTGGCCTTCATGGCCGCTCAATGAGTGATATGTTATTCTTAAATCAAAAATATAATTTCATTGTTGTCGATTTTACGCTACATCAAGTATGTACAAATCCTGTTTGGTCGTGATCAAACCGTAGTCAATTGACTGTAGATTGTGAAATGGCCTGGCATTGATTGATCATGATGAAAGTTCCGAATCCAGGGATTACTTTTGGTATAGTCGATTTTACGTATGTACATATCATGTATGTTTGTTTGTGATCGAACTATCTTAATTGTGCTTGGTAGGGTGGGATGAGGTGGGTTTAGGGGTGGGTGGTGTGTGGAGACGTGTGTGAGAAATGACTTGTTGTTTTGAAACGAAATAGATGTGGAAGTGGAAGTGTGAATAAGTGTGAATGGGACACTGATGCTATGGCCGGGTTGGTATGTGGGTATGTGGGAATGTTGTGGAGGTGGGTGTTGGGAATGACTTGTCGTTTGGAAACGAGAGTCATGTGTAAGTGTGAATGGGGGACACTTGCCGCTATGCGCAGCTTGGTAAGGGGGAATGTGGGAATGTGGGAATGTGGGATTGAAGATGTGGGTGTCATTGGGTGAATGAAGCAGACGTGTCTGAAAGGGACTTTGGGGGGTCGTGGGGGTGTTGTGTGAATGAGATATGTTGGGCTTGTAAAGTATTGGGGGGAATGGGTGAAATGAAGAGGCCAGACATCTGGGTCTTCTGATAAGACACATGCGGTACGAAGCCGTATGCTTTTACGCAGATGTCACGGTATTTCATCGTGACATCTGTAAGCTACAGGTGAGGGTATTGGAGGCAATCAATTTGCACGTCATTGCGTAAAAATGCCCAGATTTTAAACGATCATTGAAACAACCAGTAGAGGTTAGGAGCACAGCATTCGCGTAAGAACCTTCATTGCCAAAACGCCGAAGTTGCAATCCGGAAAAATATTAGTTTATTGAGTGAAGTATCCAAACAATTTCAA